GGTCCGTACTAGTAATTTAAGTTACTTGATGGTGTTTAAATCTTCTGAAATTTAAACTTAACATAAATCTTTTAAATTTAATATATGTAGCATTAAATATGCAATATATTAATTAGGTAAAATAATACGCTTTTCTATTTAAATAAAGGAGTTGCTAGTGGTCTTCCATTTATAAAAGGTTGTATAAAAAAATTAAAATGCTCTATAACATGCACAAACTGAAATTAAACAAAAAATATAAAAGAGCCTTTGTCTATTTTTAAAAATAAGCGTACGGTAGTAAAATGAAAAATTAAATAAATTTGTTTTCTGTCAAATATCTCGGAAGCCGTCGCTGATATTTTGGTTTTCAAAACATTTTCGGATTGGGCTTCAAAATATATAAATTTTTTTCAAAATTTAATCAACTTTGCGAGATACCAATACAGTACAATTAAAAAGTAACCTCCCTGTATACGTATTAAAACTAGAAAATAGCTATTATAGATGATAGATGACAGAATATTAAAAATGAGTACCATCACAATACAAAAGAAACATAAATTAGAGAAAAAATTTAAAGAAAAAACGGTAGATATTTTCTGTTTTAGACTGCTTATTTAATTAAAATGATTTCTAATTCATGTAAAATTATTCCAAATATAAAATATCTAAAAAATACAGTTTTTAATAATATTATGTCCAAGATGTGCTAAAAAATAAGATAAGTCCTTTGATGTAAAAAGCAGAGTCGTAGTCAGAATAAAATTAAAATCGAAAATTAATTTTTCTTCTAACTACGTCGATGTCAAAACTTGTAAGAAAAATACGGTGTTTGTACAGTCGAAGTAAAAAATATACCTAGGATAATTTTAAACACATAATATTGTGTATAGATAAGATTAGTTGTGAATAACTTAAAAAGAAATACATAATGGGCACTAAACCAAACAAGTGAGGATCTCACATATTTAAATAATTTCAGTACCGAAATTAACTTCAAATGTCATTTTCAGAAACAAATGGTTTTATCTCCTATCTTTACAGAAAATGTACTCTTTCGTTCCTGATTTATATTTGTCAATCCTATGTAATAAATTAATTAATTAATTTATAGTATATGCGAGCCTTAAAATATTTTACTTACCTTTCTTCCTACTTTTGTGAAAATAAATTTATAGCTATATCGTTTACTACTTTAAAAATATCTAGTTGAGTGTTTTTAAATTAAGTGTTACCACCAGAATTTTCCATTTTTATTTTTGATCAATTCTTCACAAATTAATAATATCAAAAACATCAACTATATTAAATTAAAAAATCAAACGAACTTACCTGAAGTGAATTTTTATCTCATTATATTAAACGCCTTATTCGTGATGATTCTAGGTAGTGGCTTCCCTTTCCGGCCTGTAACCATGTATTTTAAAATCTAAATACTCCCATTAGTTCCAAAATAACAATTGGTCCGTGACAATTCTTTTCACCTCTGCATCCGTTCCACTGTCCTCGACTCTACACTTTAATGTCATTCTTATAAAGCGGTAATTATGTTTGAATCTTGCAGAGATGGTCTTAAGTTAAAGGTGCGGTTGGATTTGTTCATATCGAACAAGGCATTGCATATAATTGAAATCGAACTTCATCCAACCAGCACACTTCTCTTTTAACCTTTGAATTATAAAACATTGAATTTTTATAAAGGTTTTATAGTTGTTTCAGAAATTCAATATTGACTAATAAATATAGGAAATGATGCAATTCGGCTGTTGAAAACAAAATAGCACTATAATATTGTTATATAAATATTCTTACAGCATATTTATCATATATTATAAATTTGGCTTATAAAAGATACTTAGTATTTCTTAAGAACAGCTATAAGTCGTATCTATAACACCTCTTTTATATTTGTCTTTAGTAAAATTTTAAAGGTAAGTATAAATATAAAAACGTACAAATTTAAAAAGCATGCTGTTTGATATAACAATAAGATACATTGGTTATTTAATCAACACTTATAAGGGAAAACGCCTCATTTTCTTGTTAGGGCAATTTGTGCAACATGTATAAAGCAAAATTGTTTGAACAAACATAAAATACTGTCATTGCAGCTACTAGAACTATATTTAAGAGAGTAAACATAGCAATTACAAAGTATTTTTAAATGTCTTTATTACTGCTGTATTAGGAACACTTAAAAAACATCAATGAGGTAAAATGCTCTTAAAGAACACAAAAATATTCCTGCCGCTAGTTTAATAATAAATCTTATTCTCTTATAAACAGTTGCTGTAAGAATATTCTTACTGCTTTTATAAACCCGTCATGTGCTACTTGGGCACTTCAAGTAAGTTCGTTTGATCTTTAATTATAATCCACGCATTATACTCAAGGATCATAGGCACACGAATAAAGAAGATAATTAAGACATTTTATTTCAAACAACTGTTTTAGAGTAAAGCATGACAAACGTCAAAGATCTCCATAGATACCCAGGCATTTAGTTTTAAGTCTTGTGAATGCAGTATTTATTTATCTGAGATCTGAGGATGATGGTTACTCTGTTCTTAAAACGTTTTTCTTTGGTTTACACATTTTTGTACTATTAAAAATTAATTATGAAGACATATTCAATTAACCTGTAACTACTGTCGCACAAAAAGAAAAAATGACATTAAAGTGTGAAGCCAAAGGCAGTGGAATTGATGCAGAGGTAGGAGGGACTGGAATGGACCAGTGGTTATTTTGGAGCTGTCGAAATTTTTTTAGAAGTATTTATACGTGACCTTAAAGCTGGCAAGGGAGACCTATGATCATTAAGAACAACTAGTGGAATATAATTTAGAATGAAGACTGGACTTCTAACAGTTTGTTGTCTCCTTTCGTGATAACCAGACAGATATGATTTAATCGATCTAAAATTATAAAAGTCGATCAGAAGATATCAGCGTATAAATTTATATCACTATAAAGTATAAAATATAAATTTAAAAAAATAATTAGAAATGTTAGTCCTGGAGATTTGTGACTTATTTTCTTATGGCTGAATTTATTAATAAATTATACCTGTTCAACAAATTCACGAAAGCGCTTAGGGTAGCTATAGGTGTTACAAGTAGTACGTACCTCTTAAAAACTTGACTTATTTCATTAACATTTTAGTAGTGCTCATTCGACGATAAGTGCCCATCTACAAGAAATATCATACCCTACACCAATTTCGGTGGGTAATTTTTTTCTCTGCAACATTTTAAAGTAGTGCGTGAGAAAGCATGCGCGTGACTTATTTTCTTAAGGCTAATTTTTGGTTTATTTTTAAGTTTTTGTTATGTTCTTTACAAAATTCACTTTCTCCAGCATTTTCGCTTGGCCATTTTTTCTCTTCTAGAGTAAGATCCCAGAGCGGTAAGACATAACTTATTTTCTTAAAGATGAAACCTTAAGTTCTCAGTAGCGTCTCATGTGCTTTGAATACCTGCGTGCTTGTAAAGCTTGCTGTGACACCTGGGCAGGTACCAGGTGTGAAAGGTAACTAAAAATAAGAGTTACTTGACCTAAATTTGTTTGGCTGACTTTTAGATATATTTTATAGAATATTATTCTCAAGTAGTATTGCAAGTGTCAGACACTTTGCATGGACCAAAACTTTTGTCAGACGCTTTAAAGCTAAAGATAACTATTACAAAATTATATTTATTCAGTCAGACAAATTGTAATAACCAAAAATTCCCTAAACACAAAAATTGTTCGTCCGCGAGAGCACTATGCGCATGCATTTCAGAGCAAAGAATTTAAATATTTAAAAAAGTACTTACTGCTTTCGATTAAATATTTTTGCATCTCTATTTAAATAGGATGAATTTTAACATAAAAGTGATAATGAATAATTATTAAAGTAAATTAGTTTATTGCATATATTCGGTAAATTATTTTTAATTGTGTTTTATAAAAAATAATTTTTATTTTTTTTTACCAAAAATAACAGTTTTTACATTTTTAAGAAAAAATAATTTTAGTAAAAAAAATTAACTATGGTTAGTAAGTGAAAGTATTTGATTGTCCTTAATCATCGTGATCATCATTAGAATTTTCATCATAGTATCCATTCGAGTCATCATCCTCATCATCATCAGTTATGTTGTTGTTGCTGCCAGCTTTTTCTGTAAAAAACAAATAAAAGAATTACAAAACATAAAACTACAAATATAAAACAAAAAATAAATTGCAAACCTGAAGTTAAAGTACAATACCTGGATCTTGAAGTGATTCACTTACGTCTTCCGGTAATTGGTCACCATCAAACCAATGAAAGTGATTCTGGTTTTCTTCTAACCTACACCCATTGTAGTAAAGACGGTTCGTTGTTTTCATGTGCATTATTCCATATGCTAGGAGAAATTGTTGAAATAACTCAGTTTTGCATAGTGGTAAATTGCTAGCATCAATTTTTTTAAATTTTTTGTATTGAATTCTTCGTTTATATCAAAAACCGTGTAATTATTTAAAACCAGCTGAAGTCGGGCAGCATCATAAATTTCGCAGATAAATTTTTGTACTTTAAAAATATCCTGTTGTATGTGCGCATCGGTAAACGACTGTGTTCTTCCAAACTGCATAGAAGCTAGCTCTCACAGACCCAAACTATACTGTATACTATACGTTGCGTGGGATCTACGTCAATAAATCGCCCGACAATTCATCGCGCGAAAATTCAGAGCCGACATTTCATCGTAAGACGATTCACCTCTACGACAATTCATCGCCACGACAATTTGTCGCCAGCCATTTTTTAGAATTCATTTTATGGTTTATTTTATATTTTTTATTATAATAAAATTTTTATTTTATATATTTTTTAGTATAGGTAATAAAAAACAAGTAGGTATATTGAAAAAAAATATATTATAAAAAATTGTAGTTGCTAGTTATTACATTTTAAATTGAATTAATATAATATAATAATATTAAATATTTTGGACTTGCATTCGAAAATTATGCGCAATTCCTCGAAGATATTCCATGGTATTACGAGCGTCGTAGGATTCTGTAAGTAGTTTTAAACGACGTGCAAAATCATTGTAATTTTTTTTTGAGTAATTTTATTACCTGCCACAATTTGCTCTATTTTCAATTTGTTAAGGCTTTTCTCCTTCTGTAAAGCCTTAATTAGCCTCCAAATGTTGGGATATGCAATGGAAACAATTGAACTGAAACTGTTATGCCATCCTTCAACTGCATTATTGGTTCTAGCAATTCCCTCTCTGGCTGCATTGTAACAATTCCAAGAAGATATAGGAAATTTTGGTAACCGTCTTCTTCCTCTTCTGTCTAATCTACCAATCCACGTGTCTTCAAAATAGTTTATTAAATCTGCTAAGTCCTCGTTTTCTGCATAGAATTCACTTTCCAATAATAAATCAAAAGCACTCTCTACATCGTGTTTAGGAACATAAGCAAGTGCAGCCAGAAGTCGCAAATTTGATGAAAACACTTCTTCATCCACATATCGCCTCTGAAATCCGGTATTCTGGATTTGTCTCCATATACACTGAAAAAAATAAAAAAAGCATCCACGAATTTGAGTATTAGGGAATTCACTTCGTACCGCATTCATCGCCTTTTTCGAAATCCATTAAAAAAGATGTAGGGCAAAGTTTAGGTTTCAAATTTTTTAATGCTGCATATAAACGTCTATAGTTTTCTTCTCTTTTATTCGGCAGAATTGCATATACTGTTGGAATGGTATTTGAATATTTGACGCCCATGGATTGTATATATATGGGAAAACATATTAGGGGCTGTTGAAAAAGTTCCATCTCCGTACCAGTGTTCACACTCCAACATGTAATCAAGATTTCTTGCTGTTGTAAACACTAATATTCGATCTTCTGATGGGCCGCTGTCGTACATTAAAAATAACTGACCACTGCTTGTCAGTGTATATTCCTGTGGAATAACTAATTGAAGCAGAGAATTTGAAATCGCAGGAATTCCTTTTGTCTTTTCCTTTTTTCGTTGAATAGTTCTTTTCATTGCACTCACTTGTGGTAATCTGACTGCAGCCGAAGATGATAAATCCTCGGACACCTTTGCAATGATTTGGTGAGTAGTGGAACCACTTTGTTCAGCTAAAACTTTCATTTTTTTAATAGCTCTTCTTACTTCGGCATCAGCACTATCTGACACATGATTATTTTCGGTACTCTTCACAATTTCATCGCCTATAGTATGAATGCGACCAGTACATCTCCATTTATGATATAGAAAACATTTCCAAATACCTTTTTCTCCAGAAATTTTTTCTCTAGAATGTGTATGGCCATTGTATAAAAGCATTTTGTGACCCCTTTCGCTGTCAACAAATTGTAACGGCATTTTCAAATTTTACAATGATGTAAACTCGTACAAAGACAAAATAAGAATAATTACAGTTCGTTGGTATTTCTTATTTAAACCTTATATACATATATTATAAACAGGGCATCTAAAATACTAACTTACACAAACAAGCTATTGAAGATAATCCTTTTTAGAATTAAATATTGATTGCACTATGAATTTCTCCTTGAAAGGATTAATAAAGGATAATTATAATTCTCCATTACTATTAACTAATGTGGTAACTTACCCGAATTGGCTAATGAAGATAATCCTTTTTAAATGGTAGGTAAAGGACTGTTGAGAACCTGCGACTGCCGCTTATACACTTTAAATTGGCTTATCAATAATACATTATTAATATTTATTATATTTTTTTTAGTAAAAACTACTTGATATGCAGAAAAAAAGTAAATCATATTTTTGTGTAATTTAGAGTAAGATATTTTGTAATTTTTTAGAAAAATTAATTTTATTTGGTACTTATAAGAAAAATTCAATATAGCACAAAAAAATTGTTTGTTTTTCAGACATACTGTATAAATCATAGATACAATATGTTATTTTTGTGGCGATGAATTGTCGTAGCGATAAACTGTCGTAGCGATGAAAAGTCGTGGCGATGAATTGTCGGCTCTGAAAGGTCGCGCGATAAATTGTCGCGCGACGAATTGACTGGATACCCGTTGCGTGCGCATACACAGTAGACTGAAACAGATTGTGAGTTTAAAGGGCCCCACTCACCTCGTTCTTCTCCGCCGTTTTTAACCTACGGTTAAAAACGTCAGGGTAAAAATGTCACAAAAACGAAGTGTACGGGCAAGAACGTCGTTCCAAAATTTCAGGAGAGTCTTGATTTTTGACGGTTATCGTGCCAACCGTTCGAGTAAACACGAGGTGTGTGTTCTCAACCAGTTTGACTGGTCGGGCATTTATCAGTAGCAGTGACGTTCAGCATGTTTTTGTTGTTTATTATTATTTACAACTGGTTATAATAAAAATGTCGGATATAAGGCAGTGGAACAGAGATTTTTTATTAGAGTTTATCGAGCTTGGCAGGTTTCGGGTATTATGCGTCCTAGTGCCTGCGGTGAAATAATACCAGAAAACTTCAGATCCTCGTAGATGCGGCCAGTGGTCAGAAATCGCAGAGTAGCTGTTAGGCGTTTACGAGGACTGATGTATTCTCGTAAATGGGTATTATGTCTCTCAATTAATGATATTACTAGTTTTAACAGTTTCCGATACGTATCCTCGTCCATCCTCAAGTAATTGTGTCAATCACCAGGCTCCAATCTCAGCTCCTCCAGTAAATTTGTTTGTGACAGTGTACTGCGTTTAAGTAGCCAGTCTTTAGTCCATTTTCTTCGAATTTTTTTTTCGCGATTTTTTTCCACTGCCAAAACCGTTGCCATTGCTAACAAGCACGTACGGTCCATCGTGATAAAATGGCACGAAAAAAACTGTTGTGTGTGGACATATTAGTTTTTGCTTTCAACGTTTTTAACCGTCGGTTAAAAACGGCGAAGAAGAACGAAGTGAGTGGGGCCCTTTAAAAGGGGAACCGAGTTACTATGAACGTCTCACTCGCTCTGAAAGGCAAGCATAGTACTCTCGCGCTTATTCTCACGGCCGAATAATTTTTGTGTTTAGCGGATTTTTGGTCATTACAATTTGTCTGACTGATTAAATATAATTTTGTAATAGTAACCTTGATAACATATTTAAAAATCAGACATTTAAAAATCAGATATTTAAAAATAAGTTCATTTATTTTTTGTGGAGCTTTAAAAAAGATTTGGTCCATGGAAAGTGTGTGACACTTGCGATACTACTTGAGACTAATATTCTATAAAATATATCTAAAAATCAGCCATACAAATTTAAGTTAAGTAACTCTTATTTTTAGTTACCTTTCACACCTGGTACTTGCCCAGGTGTCACAGGGCAAGCTTAACAATCACGCAGATATTCAAAGCACATGAGATGCTGAGAACTTAAGCTTTCACCCTTAAGAAAATAAATTATGTTTGATCGTTTTGGGATCTAGGACTATTCAATTTGGTGAGTAAGTGGGCATAGCTAAATTTATTATTAAAGTGTAGTAAGATATTTTTGTGCAACGATTTTACGAATGCACGAGGTTCAGTCCAGGGCGCTTAAGTATTCATAAACATTACAATCATTTTTATCTTGCTTTTGTACAAGCGTCCACTTTTTGAAAATAAGACACGCGCATGCTCACTCACGCACTATTTTAAAACATTGGAGAAAAAAAATGGCTCAGCGAAGATGGTGGGGGAGAAGAATTTTGTGAAGAACATAACAAAAACTGGAAAATAAGCTAAAAATCAACCATGAGAAAGTAAGTTAAGTGCATTGCCATTGACGTACTATTTTAAAACGTTAAAGAGAATAAATGGCCATGCGAAATTGGTAGAGGGTTTAATATTTCTTGTAGGTGGGCATAACGAAAATTAGTCAATTTTTGAGAGGCACGTACCATTTGTAATACCTATAGCTACCTAAGAGCCCTGGTTTGAACGTCCTGCTTTTGTGAATTCGTTGAACGTAACATAGGACAATTTAATAATAAATTTAGCAAGTTGGCTATAGAACTGTTTATTAGGGTGGAGCGAAACTGGCAAAAAAAATATTTTTATATTTCGGATTTCTAATAGTTATAAAACATTGCTTTGTTGCATTGTCTTTAAAACAGAATTTTAAAATTAAAAAAAATATATTCCGGATTTTTGAGGGTCGGCCGATCGTTTAAAAAATTGAGTTTTAAGAAAAAAAAGTTTATTTTCTTTCAGACGAAACAAAACATATTTTTACTATTTTTTTGTTGTCTCATAGTAAAAAACCAATGGATAATAAATATCCTTACATGGCAAAATTAGAGTTTAAAAAAAATTAATTTATACAGGGTCCGCCAGAAGTAATAAAATTCATAAATGTCTTAACTCTTCGAAGCAGTTCCTCGCTTACTTTGTTTAAATAAAAACAAAGTAACCCAGAGCTCACCACTTGGAGCTCCACCCAATCCCAGCCCAACCTCCCAACCGATGCTAGGATCTTAAATTAATTCACGATCTTAAAAGTGATGAACAATTAATTACTTTTCAAATTTATATTCTTTTTTGGTTTCAAAAGATGGCATTAAAATTTGGAACTTTAGTTTGGCTTTTATAAAGCCATCTCATCTTCTGGATCCACTCACCAATGAAGAAGCCTCAGTAACAAGCTAAATGACTTGTTCCACGGCTTAGGTGTGGCAAGGAAATTTCGGAATATCAAACATTCTTTTAATTCGAATTGCGTCTTCAAGATCTGCGTCTGTTTTATTACGAAAAGACGGTGGTTCGGTTATTGTTAGGTTTTGCCAGTTAATCATCTCATGCCTGTAATCATTTGCTTTAGAGTTAAATGTTGGTACTTTAAAGATTCAAACACTTGTTTTCTGCATGCGCAAAAAAAGCATTGCGCTGAATGACAGGATCTATGAACTTTAAATATTATCTTTTCATAAATCTAGAATATTTACTAAGTTTCCAATGATTGTGTGCACCATCAGAGCATAATTTGTTTTTCTTTATAGTGAACCAATCTGGTGCATAAACTTTCAAAACATATTCTTGTGATGGGTTTTCAGTTCCAACATATAACCTCAATATACGATTGGCAAATGTTAACTAGCGAGCATAATTTAGCTTTCCAGGGGATTAATTAGCTAATTCAATTGGACTTACGCTGTTTACAACTGCATGATAAATTTCCAACAAGTATCTTTGATCAGTACTTAGATCTTTAACATCAAACGACAGTAGATCTACTTCTATTTTAATATGTTTGTATTTGATCAAGGGAAAGGTTTCACTTTTCTGTAATAAAAGGCCAATTGATCTACTAAAAGTTTCTGGTCCTGTTGTTCGTCCATCTAAATTCTGAAACAAGTGCTGCAAAGGAAGTTCGTTTCCATGAAACTGGCACACAAACCAGTGAAGTGATCGTCCTAGTCTCGATTCGATAATGCAAATTATTCCACCTTTAGCACCCGTACTGGTGGGAGTGCCATCACATCCTAAAGCCATAAGCTCCGATAAATCGAATCTATCTGCCAAGTAAACTATAATGCACATTTTACTGCTCTACCCTAATGTTTATATCAGTTATTTTTAGATAAACAAATAGAACAAGAAAGTGAAATATTTAAAGGTAGGAGAAAAAATCATGTACATTACACAACAGTAAAGTGACATTTTCCTTCAAATTAAATTAGAATATAAAATGTAAACTAATAAATTAATAAAAATTGATTAAGCTCATTGTAATGCAGGAATATAAATAGTAGAGACTGATGATTACAAGTTGTTAAAATGTTCAAATAAAGAATAGTAGATTTTTTAGTAATGTAGACTCATCCCAATTTAATATTTTTATTTCTTGAAGTACAGACAGATATTTTTCGATTATATTTAAAGAAAAATCAATGCAATTTTAAAATATAAAAAGAAAGTATTCTTTAAACTGTGATAAGTTGAATAATCAATTTGTGTTAAATGTTTTATTAAATGTTGTATGTTATTTTACAATATTGTTAATTTTTATGTTTCTATTTTAGTTAATAGTATCTCTTTAACTGTACATAATACATTCGCGGTTGTAAAAAATATTGGCGATGCGTTGAATTTAAAAATAAAACATGCTGCCATATATAAAAATAATCAAAAACTAATATTGAAGTAAAATTATTTAGTAAAATGATTTAGCCAAAATTTTTTACATTCCATATTCCATTAGATTATATATAGAAGCGTTTTGTATTGTTTTAAAAAAGTGAATCAAAATAACAGTGTTTACATTTTTATTGACTATAATAAAAATTTCTAGCGCCAAAACAAAATAAACCAGTAGTCCGGTCCATTAAGATACTAAGAGGAATTTACTGTGAAAATAATCAGGTTTGTTGAATATAGTGGAGAAATATTGTAGAAAAAAATAAAGAAGCCATGAAAATATGTAGAGGGTACCATATAATAAGTTGATAGGTTTGTTTTATTTTATTTTTGAATAAAATACACAGTAAGTTGCAGAATCTTGTTAACGCTATGCGTTACCGCTTTGATGATGGTGGATGGGGTTTTCCGGATTTTCTTTACAAGTAAGTCAAATGGCACGATCAATCATTTTTAAGTTGCCCCGGAACGCCACGGCAAATATTAATAATATTAATAATAATAATAGTAATAATACTAGCCCTCCCTTTCCCTACACAAGTCGTTTCGTCGGCTTCAGGGATTATATATCCCTCATAAGAGGATGAATTAGGGAGAGCATATTATAATAAGATACGGGATGTTGACATTTTCAAATAAATATTAAAAAATTTCCATAAATATAAAAAGTACTAAAAATATATAAATTTTTAATTTTCTGTACAATTTACTGTTCAAGAAAGTCACTGTTTGACGAAAATTAAGTTTTAGAAACTTTATCCAGTGGCGCGCTATCAGAATTAGCCGCCAATTTTACTCGTATAATATAAATGATTTTTGAAAATATCAGCAAATTTTAATTTCTAAATACATAATTTTTAACAGGGCCTAAGAACGGTATCTTATGTAGTATTTGCTTTAACTCCCTGTGTCTCAGAAACTGAGAAATTATAGGTTTCATTCTAGATCATGTTTTCAACTATTCATAAAATTGGAAACAATACTATATTGTAGAATGCATACGCTTCTATCCTTATTGGTTATATAGGATGTATCATCGTTGAACTTGGTGTACTTTTTTTTATTGTTTTGTGTAAACTACGATTTTGGTGATCTGGAAAACTATTCATAACAAAAAGAGTGCGAAATGTCAAACTTTTGAGAATTCGAGAAAAACTGTATTATTTATTAATATCACTTACTTAATTGTGCTATAAAAAAATACTTAAAAGTGTATAAGAATTGAAGACTTTATTTTTCTGCAAACCTAGAAAAAATATATTAATATGGATCGAACAATGTTAAAACGTTAAATAAATTAAATATAAAGTTCGTTCAAAAATAATCAGATAACATAATTTTAGGAAAAATGGTGCATAGCGCCAAATTAGCGAGAAATCGATGAAAACGGTGGTAAAAACACTATAAAAAGTGACTATATATTAAAAACGCTATATTTTATTAATAAACTAAATTAGTTATTTTAATAAGAACAAAAAACAAATGTTTTAGCACTAAATAAGTAATGTTAGTAACACTAAACATGAAATTGTTTTAAAGCTAGAAAATTTGACGCACAAATAGTGAGGAAAACACTAGACAGAAATCTTTAAAAAACAACTAAAATGTAATTTTAACTATTCAAAATACGTAGATGTGCTTAAAATGATATTTAAGTATTAAATTAAACTTTACCGCAAAAATAGAACAATTATTATTATATTAATATATAAAAAAATCAACATAAAAAAGGTGAATTATCGTTTCAAAAGGTTTTAGTTGTTTAACTTTTTTTCTGTAGATTTTTATTACGTATTAACATTATTGGTATATTTCTAATTTAATTAATCTTTAAGCATAATTATTACTGAAAAGATAAATTTGCAAAAACTCAAGAAAAAAATATGGTAAATATCATTCAAAACATGTTCGTTTGCTTGAAAAATACTTAAAAATGTGTAAGTATGAAAAACCATATTTTACCGAAAAACTGGAGCAATAATTAGGTTATTACTGGCAAGGAGCAGTTAAATTAAGATGAATCAAAGGTCACGCCATATCGAAAGGTAAGCGTCTTGCTGATTCAGTAGCCAAGAAGACAGCCAATTAAACGCTTTTTGGAAGTAGCCCTTCTACTGGACTGACATTGTTAGTGACAAACCTAATTAAAGAATATTTCCTTGTAAAATTCAAAAAAAGTTGGGATGAAACAAAAAGCTGCCGACTTGCCAAGGAGCTTTTAAGCTTTAACAAAACAGCAAGCAAATACTTAACAAAGATTAGACAGACTCTGCGCCTGATAACAGGTATTCTAACTGGTCATTGCCAAATACGGAAGCATATCCATAGCAAAGGTCTGTCAGAATTAGTACTCCGCAAGGGGTGTGAACATGAAGATGATACCTGTGAGCATATCCTCTACGATTGCCCAATGCTCTCATTTTTTTAAATATTTTTGTTCGGCGAGAATTAGCCGATATAAGAGAAGCACCTCTTGGCGACGTTGTCAACTACAATTAATATGTAGGCTGGCGCACGAGCTCGAAGGTGCCTATGCACTTAGAAGGATGCAATATTGTACCGTTGAATTAAGCTTTTAGGTATTTAAACACTAAATAAGTGCAAAACAATTTAAATTTGTTAAAAGAGCCAGAATACTAATTAAAATAATGCAAGAAGGATAAATCAGTGAAAAAAGTCAAAAAGCAATACTAAATTGTGTTAGATGTTAAGGTGCGTTTAGTCAGCCTGATTAACATAGACATTAATATAAACAATAATTTAAGGATTTTAAAACAAAACCGTTTATACAAAAAATTTAAGCAATAACATAAAATTTGACAAATCATTAAAAATAAAAACATATGGTAGTTGCTTCATAAATTGCTCTGACAACGTTCTCACAATTACTAACTAATAATAAAAATCTGATGTGTCTAACATATGACTTTCCTGTTTGACTTTTTCTGGTTATTTTGTATAAAATATTGTATCACCCCTGTAAATGTTTAGAGGGCACATAGAATTTTCACACACATATAACTTAAACTTTTTTTTATATATATTCATTGCCAACTGAAAAATTAAAATTTTACGCATTTCCTCAAATGTTTCCATTACGGTCCATTTTAGAGAAATCATGTATTAAATAGAAATTATAGAGAACGATATCGCAAAATATTTTTACAATTTTCTTAAAAATTCCAATTTTGTAAGTTTGTCAAATTTCTCTTAACTATTTAAAAAATGGTTTTTAAGGGTAAATAACATATATTCCTTAAAGAAGAACAAATGCCTTTTATAAAATACCCCCAGATGTTTTCACTATGCCCAAAATGTAATCAGTTTACCGCAGGATATATTAAACCCTAAATTTAGTTGGTGTTTTTTCTTAATCCGTTTTTGACTTATTTTCAAAATTCAAGATTTGCACTTTTTCTAAAATATATATCTCGAATATGGACCATTGTAAAGAAATTATGTATAATAGAAGAATTGTAGATAATGACATAACAAACAACTTTTATTTAAACAATGTTCCTTAAAATTTGATTTTTTTAACTTTTTGGTAAATTTCTCTAAAACGGGCAATTTTAGAAAAATTTTATATAAGACAAAAATTATAGAGATCATTATTACAAGAAACTTTTATTCAAAGAATTTTCTTCTCCGAAGGTAAATAACAGTTATATTTCATAAAATAGAAGAACGACCCCTTATAAAGTAACCCCAGATGTTCCAACTATGCCCAAAATCTAATTAGTTCATCGCAGTATAGATTAAAGCTTAGGTTTAGAATTTGGTGTTTTCTCTATATCCATTTATGAGTTATTCAGTATACAGACATACACACACAGATATCATTGCGAAAATATTCAAAACAAATTCAGGACACCCCAAAACGTAAAAATCCGTCGAAAACTCAAAGACAACAAAAACCTGCCTCTACTTTTCTTATCTTTAGACACACAGGAAAGTAAAAAGTTAAAAAAAAAAGATTTAGAAGTTCTAAAGTTTAAAGTTAGGAAAATAGATTAACCTCTACTTATTGAACGCAGATGCGCAATTGTATTTTAGAGATAAATTTGAGCTTTAAATTGGATTTTACTTTAAATTGTATGTTTATGTCTATGTTATTGCTAAAAATTAAATCAGGCTGACCAAACGGACCTTTAATCATTCAAAACCAATGATTTTGATTAAAAACGCATTTAAATATTAAATTATTTTACGGCAAAATTAGAACAATAAATTTAATGCGTACAAAAATCAATACATGAATAATTAGAAAAGAGCAACCTAATTAAAATTCGTTTAAAAACAGGAAAATGCATCGCTTTATTATGGTTTGGGTAAAAACACACGGTGAAATTATTACTTTTCTCCCCCTTCGTCCAGTTTTTTTAAAAACCAAGGCCCACTAGATCATATTCAGAGGCTGAAAAATTCAAATTCCATTCTTGCGATGATTTTTTTAGATCAAAAGCTTCTTAATGCCTAATAAACAACTTGTCACTAATTTAGTCATAGAATCGTTAATGTTGAATATTTTTTCAAAAAACTTGGTTGTGATCTATTTAAGAGAATGCCGATTCCAATGACGTACTCTAAAATGGATTCTGGATTTTTTAGCCTCTGAATGTGATCTAGTAGGCCTTGGTTATTAAAAAAAACTGAAAACCGCTTGATTCCAAAATATACCTTTCCTCCCTACACATTTAAAAAAAAAATTCGCTAAAAT